TGCCACTCTGTACACAGCACTGCTCACAACACGTGAACTATATAGACCCATTGAGCTCTTTAGCTATTTTTTCAGAAGTCACCTGGCTATCTTAATTGATAGCCCCCCAAAGTGGTTTATCATGTGGAAATTTACAGCAGCCAAACACTTTTCACGCGTGATCTTGATTCTAAATGTGTAGGCAAAAATAAGGGAGGTCCCTGAGAAAAATCCACGCAGCCACGAGGAGAACATGCAAGCTCCAAACACACAGGCGTCAGGGTCGGGATTCAAACCCCCGACATCCTACATACCAGGCGAGATGTTAATGTAATAAAAGTGTGACATCACGTAAAAATGTACACGGACTTATTTTATGTTGCATGACTACTGTGGTCTTAATATGATACTGTTTTCACAACGTATAGGATTCTCTATTGATCCAGTGTAAATAAAATAAAACCCCTAAAAGTGGAAAACAAACTTTGAAAACCAAAACCAATGGTAATAAATCAGTCATCTCAGCGCTCTGATTTATTGATGTCGGACTTACAAACTACATATATGTCGCATACTGTATTAATATATATACGGTGTCATGCTAACATTCATTTGCCTTGCAGCAGTTCAGCCCAGAACAGTCTCTGGCAGCTCAGCAGTGGCACACTGCCTTGGCAGGCACGAATATAGACACACACACACCAAACGACAAATACCCCCCCCCCCCAATTAGCTGCACAGGCTCTAAAATGCTGAGAGTGACTACCCATTAAATATGAAATGGAACACAAGGGGAGGTGTGGGCAGGCATTGTCTCCCCATCACTGAGTTTGGTCATGCACCAGGGTACTGTACTCGTTTTAAGATGAGTTAATTTCGGGTAGGCCCAGGAGCCAATTCAGGTTCCAATCGGCACTGCTGTTGTGCATGAGCAGGAATGAAACCTGGGTGGATGGAATTGCAACAAAGTGGCCCAATTGACTGTGCCACTCACTGCTCCACACGCACACTTACAGCATGCACATTTAGCCGTGTGCTATTAAGGCAACAAAGACAACGATCCCTGTATAACCTATAGCAGACTGTTGGGGCAAATGCTGTTTGCGAGCACCTAAGAAGGCAGGGTCGGTGCGCTAGGGGGTGGGTGGCCAGCACCACGACCGACTGCCTTAATCTCCCCAAGTAATAATTTGAAGGAAGAGACAAAAGACCAGTTCGGATAATTATGACTGATGTTGGCCATGAGCAGGAATTGAACTCGTGTCACCGGGTTGGTAGCGCAGCACGCTAATCGCTTATCCACCGCTCCCCGCAAGGGGAAATGGTGGCTCATTCACATGCAGCATGGCGTTACGTGATGATTCGAAATGAGAATGTTAATTTTATTTTAATACAATCATCAATAACAATGTCACCGGCCAACTCTTTTCACACACTTGTAAAACTAACCGTGCCTTATAATTACGAAATATAGTATTAACACCCTTGTTAATGCTTTCACTGCACACAGAATGTCAAAGATATTTTCATATTTTGTGAATTTAATTAAGGCTTTTCCAAACTCGCAATCGATTACAACCTATGCTCAAAACGTAAGTCTTCACGAGATGCATGCATTTCGATTTAAAGCTTTCGTGACTGCAGGGATTCATCTTCTTGGTTGTTTCGGTGAAGTCACGTAGAAGGGAAGAAGTTTCGGCTACAACGCAAGCAGCCGTCTTCAGGTGAAGACGGCTGCTTGCGTTGTAGCCGAAACGTCGTGAGAATTATTTTATTTTATTATGTTTTATTTTTATTATTTTATTACTTCCCTTCTACGTGACTTTACCGAAACAACCAAGAAGAGATGCATGCAATATGCAACCACATATGCATTCGAAAACAAGCTTGGCAAAGGGTTGGCAAACGTGGAACTGTGGTGGATTGCAATGCAAGTTTGGAAGCCGTGATTTAACACGAAAGCCTAAATTCAGGCGTGGAGATACGTGTTCGCTAAATCTGCTATAGTAAGGAATACAGGTATTCCGCAAACAGATCCCCTGCAGCAAAAGCGAGTGATAAAATCACTATCGATTCCAAGTTCAGGGGAGAAACATGCTTGCAAAGACGGTGCCTCTTGCGAAGAACAGATGCTTGTAAGAGTCGTACATGGTCTATGCATAACTGAAAAGGAGCCTGACATGAAAATTTTCATATCTTTATCTTTTTGTACATGTAGTTTTGTGTTTTCTAATTTTTTAAAGTCAATGTTCCCATGCCTAAACGAGCATAGGCCAATGCTTATCTTTTGGGGGCCCAAATGCAGTTGAAGCAAACGCCACATTTCAATGTCCAGGGTCAGTCTCCCCATTACGAACGCTACATCAACTGCAAGGTATGGGTGTGTGTGTTTTTATGCAAGTGCTGTGTACTTGCACATACAACGATGTGTAGATAAATCATTGTTCATCGTGTATACCCGTAAGGTTTAGTTTGACACACAAGAGGTAACACGAGCCCATTCACACCTTAAAACGATGGGCACAGGACACTCCGTGGCACTTGAGCGGAAAATCAGATTATAAACATTCAATTTAAAAGAACAACAAAAACACAACTTTACTGTTTATAGTACACTGTGAAACAACACCTCATGCCGCACTATAAATTTCGACCAATGGAATATAATGTGATTGCCAAGCACGCTGGCAAAACACCAAAATCACTAGGAGGTGTCTATGAGCTGTTTTCATGGTGACAAATGTGTGCCTTTTTTTGTTGCCAAACTGCAGAGTGCATATATTGATAAGGCCCTTGGGGCGGAAGGCAAGGTGTGCAATTTCACACAAGTGAGCTAATCGCTCGAACCAAAACTCCACCGACATAAAAGAGCCTCGAATAAGTGAAGCTGCAGCTCTCAAGAATGGCAGTAAAAAGCGTGTTAAAAGCAATTTATGGCCTCGCAAGTGTTGTGGCACTTTGTGCAAGTCGACTCAGGCAGTGGTGGGCTACCTGCGGTCGTGCAGGCCCACCTGCCCACCCTCTGGAGCCACTCACGGTGGCCTGGTCTAAGTGTGTCAGGGTTACAAGGTCGCCCCCTCATTACACGCTCAAAGTGCTTGCCACAAATGTGAACCACAATACCTTGCCGATCTCGTCAAGGAGCATCAACCATCGCGTGAACTCCGGTCATCCTCGCAGCGGCGGCTTTTGGCTAACCGGCACACGAAGACGGGTCAACTGCATCGCACGCTTTCAGATGCGCTTCTGGAACGCTCTTCCTTCCGAAATTAGGAAATTGCTGGAGCTATGCACTTTTAAATCTAAATTGAAAACTCATTTCTTTAGAACTGATTTCTGTGTTTCGTATATTGTCCTTCCCCCGCACCTCCATGAGCACGGTTGGCAGTGTACGGTATGAAAGAAGTTCAACATATGTACATACATATGCATGGGGTCGTGATTAATGCACTAGCACGATTTCAAGCTTGCGGCCCACTCAGGTGCAAGAGGGCTGCTCATGCGGCCCACTGACTTGTCCAGGTTGCCCATCACTGTTCTAAGGCGTCGCCTAAGGCTGCTGGTAGCGTAGGCTTCCGTAACAAAACACTTGAGCTTTACGTCATGTTTACATTTATACGGAAAGTAATAGAGTGATGGACTGCCCAACATATACGATTCAGATATTAAACTATAAATTCACAGCATTTCATTACGTTTTACCCCGAGTAAAAAATGGAAACTGGGCAGCAGACGGCCGTGATTAGTTTGTTTACACTAAGCTGCGTTATTGATGGAAGGGAACAGTAGCAAGTTGTCAACCGGCTCAACACACTAAATAACTGCTTAGACAGCACATCTTGATAACTATCAGACCCTTATCAGCTGTCAACTTTGCACAAACCAATCAGCTCAGTAGCTCAGAGCTCGTCCGTGAAATAAATGACACATCTCAGCCAGCTGTGTAAAATGACGAGAAAGCCAATAGAAAATTATTTTACACGCGGGCAGGAAACCAATTTGAAATGGTGGTAGGTAGTCCGTGTTGGAGTTTAACAAAGCGTAACAGCTAATAGTGCGGATGCCTGGCCACTTTCCACCGGAACATTGGACCCAGAGCCAAGGGTGGCACATGCCTATCAGCAGAAAACCTACAACCGCAGATGGCCTTCTGTGACTTGGAGGGGCCATGAGAATATTTATTTGTACTGGAGGAATCCGATGAGCTATAAAGCTCTTCTTCACAGATGTCCAGTAGGAGCACGAGGTCAGAACGTTGCAACAACAAACAATACAAAATCGCGATAGGAGTTCAAAGTATAGGAAAGGTAAACAAATCACTTAAACAAATATATACAAATATAACTAAACTATGTTTCAACTTAGCAGGCAAAGCCCACCGAGGTATTAACTTATTTTTAAGAAGCGACATGGCCACTACAATTGATAGCTCAACACAGTGGCTTATCATGTGGGGCAGAGGCACATTTCATAATCGGGAAGCCCGTTGAGCAACTTTTAACTTGCACTGCAGCTTCTAAACCTGTCGGCGAGATAAGAACAATCGTGGCTGGAGGATGCATCGGTAGCCCGAGCTGGCTGCATCCGACGCTGACGCATTTTCGGGTAACCTGAACTCGACCGGGTCACCTTCACGATGGTCGAATCCACAATTGTGTTTCTGCGCGTATATCTGCAGTGGTTTGTACTAATGAGTGTTCTGCGCAGAGTACTGGAGTCCGCCATAGGAATGTGGAATTTATACCAATAACTCAGGTCTACCCATGGAGTTGAGGGGCCCGATCCGTGCTGATTTGAAGGCGGCGATGGAGTGATTGCTCAGAGCATTACATCAACTTCAGGGTATAAAGCAAGCTCTTTAACGTGAATGTGCCATTATATTGAGGGACTGCGTGTTACCTTGATGTGATGTGGGACTGTTTTGTCATAGTTTTTTTGCTGCCTTGCCCAAGCTTGATTAATCGGACCCATATAAGTAATGTATTCATAATTTATTGATATGTAGTGATTTAGCTTATTACCATTTTCTTTATTTTTCACTCCAATCCGGTTTTTGTTGTATTGTTTGTTGCTGTAACTTGCTGACCCAGTGCCCATACTGGCCCCATCTGTGGAAAGAGCTTCACAGTTCCTCTAAACAAAGAGTCCGATCTCCTGCGTTGCAGCTCCGCGCAGACAGGCTGGAATTAAAGAGTGACATTTGCCGCAGCAATCAGCGTGCGGGTATTGTATTTGATGCAGGTCGTGTTGTGTAACACTGGACACTTGAGACCGTGGGTAATTAATAGACGCCACCGGCAGCTATATCAGGAAGCATAAAGGGGGCAGGGGCAGACAACACAAACATAGGTGGCTGTAATTGCGGATGACATCAGACGCGACGATTTTTTTTTCTCTGACGCTTGCTAATAAATGTCACGATTTGAATTCAACTCCCAAAAAAACAGCCATCCGGTCACCACCCCCTGTGCAAATTGGAACCTCGACAATGTTTAGAAAGCCCCCAAAAAAATCCCTGAAAAAAAAACAAATAGACTGCAGCCTTAAACAGTTTCGAACACATGCCCAGAAAACCCTGCTAATCCCAGCAAACGCTGAACAAGGTATTTATGCCGGGTCATTATTCCGTGGCTTAAGCCCAGATCCGCCCATACCAATCCCGACCATTCAACCCCAAGAGCTGCAGATGCGTATCAGCTGATCAGGCTCAGACAAGCGTGCATCATCAGCACGCCCGCACATACATAATGCACACACACACACACGCACACTCACATTAACACACAGTGACTGCGGTACATACAGCCGCACACACATTATGCACACACGCCCAGTAACTGCAATACCCGCAAATACATAATAGACAAAGATCCACTACCCCCGCAAGTGCTGTTAGCGAGTAGCACCCATGAAAGCCCGCACGGTACACAGGGCGGGTGGGTGAACACCAGCACCACGCCCGGCCGCCTTTGTCTCCCCAGTGGTGAAGTTTAAACACCGCACCAGTTATTCCTTTGAGTCGACCTTTGGGGAGGAACCCAGGACCGGTCCAAATAATCGTGAGCGGGAATCGAACTCGCGTGGCCGAGGGTTCGTAGCGTGGCGCTAACCGCTGCGCCACCGCTCCCCGCCTACATAATGCGCACACAACGCAACTAACCCCCCACCCACCCACCAGTAACTGCGACACACACACACAGTGACTGCGGTGTATAGACACTGGTGTATTGCAGTATTCCCTCGCTTCATACATAATGCACACAGAGTGCGTGTGGCTGCAGCAGCAGACACATGCAGACACCGGTGGAACACACACACTTGCACACACTCGCACACACACACACACACTGCAGTACATACACATACAGCACAATTGTGCTTGCAGTACCCAGACTGCAGCACACAGGTGACATGCACAGCCCCGCACATTGACGACACCATCTACGGGCACGGCAGCACACAGGCACGCACGTATACATACATAGTCACTGTAACGCACACGCATACACGCCGTGGGTGAAGCGACACACATGTTGAACAACTCACGCACACGGTGAGAAACTCACTCATATACACACGCAGTGATCATCTCACACACACACACAGAGAAACACACTCACACACGCAGTGATCATCTCACACACACCACACGCATGACGATGAGCAACGCCTTACAGGGACGTGCGGCCACAGCCCCTCTGGGTCGCACCCCGCCCAGGGCTGAAGGTCAGCACCGAGCACCGAGCGAACTCCGACCACCACCACCAACACCACCAACCACCACCACCACCAACCACCACCACCAACACCACGACCAACAACAACCACCACCACCAACCACCAACCACCACCACCAACAACAACCACCAACAACCACCACCAACCACAACCACCACCACCACCAACAACAACCACCAACCACCACCACCAACAACACCACCACCAACAACAACAACCACCACCAACCACCACCACCACCAACCACCAACACCAACAACAACCACCACCACCAACCACCAACACCACCACCACCAACCACCACCAACAACAACCACCACCACCACCACCCACCACCAACCACCACCACCAACCACCACCAGCAGCATTCGCAAAGTCCACACATGCCCACAGTTCATTTGCAACACAACGTGAGACACGCAGACACACGCAGATACACACACCACACACACACGCAGAGACACACAGACACACACAACACACACAAAGACACACACACGCAGAGACACACGGAGAGACACTCCACACACACGCAGAGACACACGCACACGCAGAGACACACTCCACACACACACAGACACACACAACACACACAGAGACACACACCACACACACGCAGAGACACACAACACACACAGAGACACACACCACACACACACCACACACACGCAGAGACACACTCCACACACGCAGAGACACACACAACACACAGACACACACCACACACACACCACACACACAGACACACTCACCACACACACAGATACACACTCCACACACACAGAGACACACACACCACACACACACACCACACACACACACCACACACACAGAGACACACAGACACACACCACACACACACAGACACACTCACCACACACACACAGAGACACACTCCACACACACAGAGACACACACACCACACACACACCACACACACAGAGACACACACCACACACAGAAACACACACACAGAGACACACACAGAGACACACTCCACACACAGAGACACACACACCACACACAGAGACACACACAACACACACACACAGACACAAACACCACACACACAGAGACACACACACCACACACAGAGACACACACACCACACACACAGAGACACACACACCACACACACACAGAGACACACACTCCACACCGACGCGGATCAACCGCGCTCTCACCTCCGCTTGCAGGCGCATGTCTTGTGCGAGGCGTGCCGTGCCGAGAGAGTTGAGCGCCGGCGGCTTGCGGGTGAGAGAGCAGCGAGACGGACAAGACGGAGGAGAGAGGGGGAGACGAGAGAGGGGTAGAAGAGGGGGAGGTTGGCATGGAGGAGGGGAGGAGAGAGAGGGGGGGGGAGTCTGAGAGGAGGCTGCGAGCGAGAGGAGCGAGAGAGGCCGCGCCGCGACAGCTCCACACACGCACCGCGCGCGAGCCGGCCACTGGCGGGACCACGCCCCCTCGCGGGTGACGCCCCGCCCACAATGATGGCAGCCCCGCCCACAGAGGCGGACGCCCCGCCCATAGAGGCGGACGCCCCGCCCACAGAGGCGGACGCCCCGCCCACAATGATGGCAGCCCCGCCCATAGAGGCGGACGCCCCGCCCACAATGATGGCAGCCCCGCCCACAGAGGCGGACGCCCCGCCCACAGAGGCGGACGCCCCGCCCACAGAGGCGGACGCCCCGCCCACAGAGGCGGACGCCCCGCCCACAGAGGCGGACGCCCCGCCCACAATGAGAGGGAGCCCCGCCCATCGAGACGGACTCACAGGGACACTTCGGCCTTCAAGGCATATGAGGTCAGGTTTAGGGCATTTGAGGTCATAACTCGACCCTAGGGTTGTTAAAACGGTAACCGGTAAAACGGTAACCGTTTTCAAAATCCGTTTCCAGTGAAATGTTAGTAATGAATTATTAGAAATGAATGCATTACTAGAGTTGGCCTAATTTCTCAGTTCAAAGGTCAAGATACAACCCATCAATGGCTTGCTTCCTCAAACCACTGCAGGTGGTCGGGCCTCCACTAGAGGGAGCTCTAGATGGGTTTTGGTCTACTCTTCCACGCTCTCCAGATGTGTTGGAAGGTGGAGGAGGTACCCACGCTTGCATGGGACCTATCGATTGACTGTGGTGGCACCCATTAATACTGCTTGGCGAACATAGACGCGGTTGTAGATTTAAGAAACGTGCCCCATTGTTTCAACTGCCGCGCCAGGAGATGGAACCGAACTGGCGATCCTCTGGATTGCAAGTCCAGTGCGCTGACCGTTCTACCGCAACAGCTCCAACAGCCCATTTCCTCTCGGACGTTTGACAATTGATATTATGGGAATGTTTAATTTCCCACAAACACTGAAGGCTGCCAATGGAATTGATGGGATTACTAACTTGGATCATTATGACACAAATGCACTGCATCGCGCGCTTTCTGATGCCCTCCTGTGGCCGTCTGGAACGCTCTTCCTTCCGATATTTGGAAGCCATTGGAGCTATGCACTTTTAAATAATCTAGATGAAAGCTCATTTCTGTAGAAATGCTTTTTGTGTTTTGTTTGTTGTCCTTCCCCCACACCTCGATTCGCACAGCTGCCTACATACGGTGCGAAAGAAGTTCAACATCCAAACAATGACCTACTCATGTAACTCTGAGATTACAGTACAGTCGTGTATCGTTGTGTACAATTAACTCAACTGATCTACATCAACTGTGCCTGCTAAAATGTAGTACTTATGTGTACGTTATCAGGAGAAGCAACCGTCTGAGATTGGTAATTGTTGCTGCTTTTAAACAAGTGGCCTGCTTTCAATGGGACATTCCATTCAACTTTCATTTTACAGATCAAATCACGTGGTTTGTCCTTTAACTTTCAATGTTTTGAATATTTTACCGTGTTTTACGTGATATTTACTCTCCACTTTTTACAGGTGGGCTGGCTCTATGTACATTTGGGGGTGGGAGCTTTGGAATTTTGAGTTGTACTTGTTATATTAGCACCTTTTTGATATTGTAACTCTTCTATACTGGAAAACAAACATCGCGTTGATGTCTTCGGGAGGAAACTACATGGGGCTAATTTAGGCTGCATAATGAAAAACAATATCAGTCATCTTCCTGCGTAAAGTTTAAAAAAAACGGTGGCAATACATCCCACCAAATTCCATGGCATCAGAAACAACATTAACAGTTGTCAGATGTTTGTCTACAAATCACAAAATAATAAAAAAAACGATGAGATCAACAACTCACCGCGATGTGAATGAGATGCTTTCACCAATGAGTTTTCTGCACAGGCTCCGTGCTGCAGGCAAGTCATTCCACGAGTGGGATGACAGTGCCGTGTGTAAAAAATTGCCACGCCCTTCAACACAATTCTCTGAGATGCCAATGTGGGGCTGCACGGATGTGGAAAGGCACATATCGACGTGGGTGTAAAGGCCACACACCTGATTGTCAAATAAATCGCAGTACAAAATAAGATTCATGTGCGTGGTACTGGCCTGAAATCACAATTACAGTGCAGTACTGTACACCTTGACAGCATAGATGAGAAAGTCATGTCTTTTGCAGAAAATACATAGATTAGTATTTATTTATGAATGTAAGGCACTCATTTCAAGAGTTTGAATTTATGAGGGTTGCCCCCGGCCCCCTCCTCCCATTAGAAGTATTTAAATCCCTCTGGTTTGTGCCAACTACTGTGTTTATGTAAGACCCATTATCTAAGTTCTAAAGGGCCGATAAGATGAGTACCCCTTTCTGAATGTGCAATCTCCATAACTGGTTTTCGGCCACCAAGGAATAGCAGTAACCAATTATCATTTGAGCGCATGCATGTTGTTATCAGTATTAATTTGTTAAAACTACACTTCCAATATCAATTTCACGGACAACATATGTACCTAATATGTACCGTACTTGCATTGTGTATGACATCTTTAGACATCTGACACAAGGACAGTGAACTTAGCTTATGCACCCAATTCAAGTATTTTTCTTTTTAAATGTGATATATAATTAACATTTTGCCTCGTTCGTGTCCAAGCAACGCTATGATGGATCGGTTCATGCGTTGCACATACTCTGAAAGACATGTGATGCAGGAGTGTCAAATGCCACCACTTCTATATCAACATCCAGACATTCACACTATTTCTAAAGGATGTGTTGACTTACAGTACATGTTTGCATTGAAATATCAAATCCTATTGTATGTTTAAGCCTTTGGATATACATAAAAGTCACGTATATTGATACTGCTGGTAGTCTGCTGCTGCCGTGTCTGTTATGGGTGTTTGTGACCATACTTCACCAGACTGGTCAATACGAGATATTACACTAATAATGTTTGCCGTGGCCATGATCAAACTCACTTGTCTGG